ACACTCAAAAATCAAATTCTACCAATGCATCCTTCTTTGTATAATGATTAATAATCACATAGACATGTCAGGTGTAAAATGCTTTTGAAATACTTGCAGAGCATTCACTTCCTGCTTTGAATGGGCAAAAATGACTTCAGCTCGCCAAAGCAATGCACACTGGGATTGCCTTGTCATCAGCAGAGCATTGGTGGGAAATCTCATCTGTAAGCTCATGAGATCTCAGAGAAAGGCAGTTTCCTCCCCTGAGATGATGTGAATAGTCACATGTGCCAGAAATCTAGGAAGTAATAGGAGAGCTAGTAATCTGCCCTTAGTAAACATGGCCACTGTCAGAAGAATGGGGGGAAAAAGAGAAACAAGGTATGCAAAGAATACAAAGCCGGCAATTATGAGAAGTATCTGTTTGTAGATTGTCATTACTAAACATTTCTAAAGCTGTGTTGGTTGTTATTTTAAAGATATGGGTAAAGGTCCGCTTTAAAGCCTAAATCCTGACTCCACCCCCTCTCCCATGGAGGTGCCCCCCCCCCCTATATTGTTATGACATCAGCACCACTCTGTACATCACTTGTACTGTAATTGAAGTGTATTGTTGTGATGCCTCCTCAGGGGGCAGGCCCATGATGACCTGCACTCACAGTATCTCTTCAGACTTCCAAGTTAAGTGACACTGGGTGTCATTCAGCATGGAAAACTGACGACATCTTGTGGCAAAAAAGAAGTCCTCTGAGGGGCAGCTCTGGATTGAAGATGAGTATTGCACCCTAAGTTGCCATTTTTAATTTGTAAAACCCTCTTGGGCATCTATTTTCATTTTCAAAAATTACCCAGCGTTGGACTTTAAATTGAACCTGTGTGCAAATATAAAGATCTAGCTAACAGCTTCAGAGCTGAAAACTTTAACGGTGAGAGATTCCTCTTATTTTAATGCCATTCACTGAAAAATTAAAACTTTGAGCCCTTCTCAAGTGACGTGGTGGAGAAAAGACATTTCCCCCCACACGCATCCCAAAATGTGATGACCTTCACCATAGGCACCCTTCAGCGGGCCAGTTGTTACCATGTATGTTTTAAACTTGGTATACCTTTTTAAAAGTTCAAACCAGGCTTGCAGTGGGAGTGTATGCTTTGTAGGCTAGTGGCTAGTAAGGTTCTATAGTGGGCTTCTAGACAAAGGAATCACCAGTTTTTAATCAGAATACTGTAAAATCCCAGCTCATCGTACATATGAAATTGCCCCATGGGCACCATTTTAGCATTTGTGCAGCATATTTAGCTAACTGAAAAGCTGACTGACTGGCATTATATTTATTGCTGTGGTTGTGCACATTTTATAGATTTTTTTGCTAGACTCTTCTGTAACATAATATACCGTAGTGCCCTCTGGTACTGTAATACGTAATTGCCTTCTTTAATTTTGAATGAGATTCTGAGCAGCCATTTGTTTGCCAGATGTAAGCTCTGAAAAGCTTTGCATGTTCGCTAAAAATGTAATTAGATCCATGGCTAGTTTTATATTATTTTGCAAGCATAATTAGCAGTATTTTCTAGGCACATGAAGGGGTATCATTAAACACATACTGTAGGGGGAAGTGAAGAGTGTTGCCCATTGCAACCAATGCTATCCCCATAAGGCCAGAAGCATAAAAACTGTTATTTGGCCTTGTGTGACTTATACAAAATGCCACTAGATCAGAAATACAATGACGGTATCTAATGGCTCATGCACATGGCCGTATTGGGACATACAGCATTAGAATTTGGGCTTTTTTGCACATCCAGGAAGCTGGTATGTGCAGTCACACATGCAGTATATATGAATGGCTGTATGTGGATATATGCTGGTGCTCACATAAACCTGCATATACTGTAGCTTACACACATATTCACCAAACACAGAACGTGGCAACAGCGTTACCAGGACAGGAAGTGAAGGGAAATCTTTCCACCGCAACACAGGAAAGTGGTTACAGTGACAGGAAAAAATGGGGTCATAAACTGCAAGAACAACTGGCAGACATTGGTAATCCTTCCTCTCTCCTTGTTTTGTTTTCTGTGTCTCTCCTTTTGAGATACCTGTATTCACACAAGTCAAGGTAAATTTCCAAATAGGAAACCCAGAAAAACTTGACACGGACTGTAGCCATTTCCTACTTTGTCTAGAGCTAAAATAAAAGAATTTGGCTGGAGTGTTCCTTTAAACAATTTAGTTGTATACCTAATCTAACTGATTTATGAAAGCTAGAGCAAAGAAAATATAAAGTTGTAGCCCAAATCATCCATTCAGCTATTAACTTTCAAAGTGTTGGCTGCTGTGTCAGTGAAACATGAATTCTGCACTCTTCCCGCTGCCATTTCTTCAGGCCAAGGACTGCCAACTGGAGTTCTCTATTAATTTCTATGAATATTTCTCAAGATTGAACTTGACTGGCCATGGAAGAGGGATGACACAGCAGCTATGACTAAATACATGATGGCACATAGAAAAAAAAGCTACCTAAAAACTACACACTGAATAACCTTCAACAGTAACGTTTTAGATGACATTTTTCCCTAAAAGCAAATCCTTCAAAATAGAACTGGAATATAATAAAGTGGTGTATTTTTGCCAATACTGTCAAAGCTGCAGTCTGTAATTGTAAGGCAATGTTACCAGTTTTCCCCCTTTACTCAATCCTCTTCTCTCCTCTCTCTCCTTTCTTTAGTGGGGCCATCTCCCTCCCCTCTCCCCACTTCCCCTCTCCTTTAAAACTACCAGGAAGCCGCCGCCATGCTGTTTGGCCGCCTCAATGCTGTTTGCCCAGGAAGCCGGCTTCCCAGCCAATCAGCATGGAGCCGGCTAAACAGCATGGAGCCGGCTTCCCGGGCAATCAAGAACCCGGGCGTTGAGTTATGACACCCGGCGGCCTTACTGATTGCCCAGGAAGCCGACTCCTAGCAAAATTACCGGTATCAACGAGTACCGAAATATAAATATCATTACTTGTACTCGATACCGAAAAAACAATTTTGAGTGCATCCCTAATAAAGATGGCTCCATAAAGATGAGAGCACTGGCACTTGTAGTCCTGTCATAATGGCTGCAGGGCCCCTGGAATATGCACTTGTACTTTAATTCCCTATATCTTATCACATATATTATCAATTCATCTACAAACTTCAAACAGTTCTCAGTGGCCAACAGTGCCTACCTTGTTTGGGAACAGATAAGAAAAATGCATCACGATTATAGGAAAATATCCAGGCTATGGAGTGAAGTAGTTAGACTGGTTTTGTTATGGATTGTTCCCAACCTATATTATATAAATTAGGTGGGAACATGGTTGCTCCGGAAAGAGGGTGTGGTCAAATTGCTGAACGCTTTACCTCGTTTAACTGGAATGTAATTGAGCAATACACAACTCATTCAGTGTAACTTTTGTTGTCATGTGTTTTATAATAATTTAGACTCAATATTGACACAATGGTGAGGCATATACGGATGTACTTAAAGTGACACTAAACTCAGGAGTTAAATCTTAAGAATGTATTCAAGTACTCCAACTATTAATAAAAATGTATCTTATTTGTGTATCACTCGGCTGTAGATCCTCAAATCATCTCTGAATTGGTGCTGACACTGTGCTTCCTTCTGAAGGGTGGCCACTTTTGTTCCCCATGGTCCCTGTGTGTTGTAAAGTAGACACCGCTCCAAGCTCACTCCTGTGATGGACTACAATCTCATGTTTAGTTTACTAATTTGTATTGAGATTGTTGTCTATCACGGGAGTGAGATTGGAGCGGTGACTACTTTACAACACACACAGGGACCATGGGGAACAAAAGTAGCCACCCTCCAGAAGGAAAGACAGTGTCAGCACCAATTCAGAGATGATGTCCCCTGTTATGAATGAACACATCACTTCCTGTTCATTCATGAGTTTTCCAATGGAGGGAAGCACTCACTATAGAGGCTCCTACCCATTGATAACTGGATGGTAGTAAATATTTTTATATTTAATATTAAAAAACAGTAACCAATTTGTTTAGGACAAAATGAACAGAAACTAAATATTTTTTCATTAGTTTCGTCAAACGAAACAAATTTTTATGCTATTTTGGATTTGGCCACCAGCGCATTCTGCGCATGCGAGCTGCCATCCTGGAGGCGGGGCGCATGATGTCACATGATGCTGTGTGTGTGCAGGGTCAGGTGACATCACACTTCTGTTGGGGGGGCACAATTTTCTGTTCTTGCCTCGGGAACAAAAGAAGCTAGCTACGGCTCTGCATGGGAGTCACCCATGCCACAAACACAGGACAGTATTTGGAATCTACTGGCTTCCACATATTATCATTCAAAAACATTCCTCCCTCTACTACTGTATGAAGGGGAAGTGCATGAAACATCAACTATGGCCTTGTATTTGTCCAGTGACAAGACATCTGTATTTGAATTTCCAGTCCCCCCCCCACCTGCTGTTCACCGGAAGGGAGTCCTTTACTCTTTGTTGGCCCTTGTCATTAAAGAAGAACTCAGGGCTGTTAAAAACCTAACCCTTGCAGTCGGGCTACCCCCGCATTACAAGGTTAACTGCTTGTTTTTGTCTAGGGAGTGAAATAAAAAAAGATATACTCACCCAAACCTCAGTCCTGCAGCGGTGACTGCTCAGCTCTCTCCCCATCCACTCCGGTTGTGTTATGTCCCTCGGCGTCCTCATGTATAATACAAGTCAACAGACTTGTATTACACATGATGATGTCAGCAGGGCTTGTACTGCTGGAGCCCGGGGGAAGCAGAGGCTGCCGGGACTGGCAGCCAGGTGGGTCCCAGGTTCGAGTGAGTATTTCTTTTTTATTTTGCACCCTAGACCAAAACGTGCACTTGTAATCCTTGCAGGGCGGGAGTAGACCCACTGCAAGGGTTAAAGATTAACTGCCAGGAGTTCTTATTTTTACATTATTTAGAATTCACCCGGATGTCCATACTGATAAAGACTGTCTCTTGTCCTATCCCCAGGTCACTGAATGCAGCCAAGTCCTATGGAAGAACCACCCTCACTTTTATGGGGTTTGGATCCGCTGTTCCTAGCCCATGCCAGGTTGTACATCAAGGATATTTTAGAAATAAAGGAGTCTAATCAAGTACCTGGTAAATCATTCTGTAACTAGTGGCATGTTGGAAAATGTACTAGTGTAAAATGTTGTATGGTTTATGAACTTTGCACAGAATCTGAGATTCATCGAAGGGTCAGTGCTTAGAATGGTTGCTTCCTCACGAATGCCAATTACATTGAAGCTTTCCCTGAAATGTGACAGCTGCAGACTGGAAGGTTGGATCTGATTGGTAGGATTGGGCAAACAAGGAGAGTTCTCAGTGCCAAGGCCCCTAGTATGTGTATGAGTATTAATCTGTTAGGTGTATGCAAATAGAATTGCACAAAATGTGATTATTTTAGCTGAAAAACCTGTTGGTGACTAATATCTACCTTTCACTTATGTCATGTGCAGGGGGTGGTCCTATTCTGTAAAAGTAATCTAAAGGCCTATTTACCATACTACCTATAAATGTCTGTAAATGTTTAGGGCAGTGGCGGAACTACCAGCATCGTAGAGGTCAAACACCTGAACAATGCCTGCATCCAATCAGCTTGTTCAGGTATTTTGACAGCCAGCAGGGCCGACTTGCAAGATACTGAAGCTTGGCCCAGTGGGAGATTCCTCCATCCACACAGTGTAACGTAGATGGAGGAATCTGTTTCACTTTTTCCATCTGACCATAGAAAATCTGCAGAAAATCTATAGATGTATGGCCAGCTTAAGCTTACAACAGAAGAGTCCACCAGGCTCTGGTGAGTAAATGAAACTGTCTTCCACCACCTCACCTTAGTAGCAGAGTTTGGCTGTTTCTCACCCAGTTTTAGGGCTAGTTCACACCAGCCGCAGTGCGTTCCGGCCCGATTCTGTCCGGAATGAACTGGATCGCATTGCGGCCGGCTCACTTATTTGTCGGGCGGGAGGGGAAGTGAATGGCACCACAGCCACAACCACGCCAGAATCGGACTGGAACGCACTGTGGCTGGTGGGAACTAGCCCTTAAGCCTCCTACACAGCTGTTTCTGTTTCAGTTAATCATTACATATGAAATTGATGATCATTAGTCCCATGCTTGGTATAATTGGTTAATCATACACTTGACTTGAATCCTACAAAATCCCTGACTGTGTGCAAATGTAAGAATTGATGCTGGTTTGCAGCCAAAGGGTAGTCACACCAAATATTGATTTGATTTAGATTTTTCTACTGTTCACTCACTTGCAATTTACTGCATTTTGTAGATTGATAAACCATAAAAATATATATTTTTGAAAGCATTCTTACTTTACAGCTCACAGTCTTTGCTATGCAGCTTTCCTGTTTGTGAATCATATTATCTGGCATTTGTCGTTCAGTTCAGTCACTAATCATTTTTCTACCACAGGTATATTTTTTTACAAAGGCCATCCCATCAAACAGGTCGATATCTTAGGAACTGTTGTGTGTGTAAGGGAAAAGGATGCCTTTTACAGTTATGGAGGTATTCTGGTTCTCTCCTATGTGGCACTCTTTTGTATAACCACTTTTGTTGTTTTCTCTTAAACTAAACAGTATAGATATAGAAGAATATAGATGTTTATTTTCCTCTAATGCTCCAATACATGGCCCACTAGGGCTCCTTGTGCGGTCCACTGGGCCCAAGACCTCAATTCCAGTCTAGAGCACAGTAAGCTACTCATGGTGTAGCAATGGTGCTGAGTCTTAGCAGCTCTGGTGGGTCCCAGCAGGAACTGATGGCTGTCAGTCTGGGGTGTAACTACAGATCATGGGGCCCCATAGCAAATTTTTGATGGTGGTCTCCCTGCAACCTCTCTGTGGCACTGTGAGAATACATGTCATTGATCTTAACAAATAGTGTGATTGATTAAGGACTGACAGCAGGAGAGCTGTCAACAAAGTTATTGTTCCACTACGGTAGGTAGCAGTACTATGGATAGAAGTTTTCAAATGATAGGGTGGCAGCAGGGAAGAAATTTTACTTTTAAACTTAGGTTTCCAGGTCACTGCTCTGTAATGAGTAGATCACCATTCTTTTTCAGTATTTTAGATCTCAGGGCCTTAGTCCGCAGGCCACAATTACTCTACTGTACTGTATATCCCTAATAAAATGTTTGTGTCCCGCCATTTTTGCAGAACAGCAAACCTCAGTCTTATCAGGTTACAGCTAAGGAGTCACTCTGGGATTTTTAACTAAATTAGGCAAACAGGATTATTTTCTTTCTGGTGCTCTATAGCAGACGTTTGCTGGGGAATCAATTTACACTGCTAAATCAGCTACAATAATGCTTCTTACGGCAGGGGGAGAAATCTGTGACTAGCAGCAACACCAATCCTGATAATTCCTCCTGGAGAATTTAGTTTAATGTAACAGTCTCCTTAATGGGGCCTCCTTCCCACTCCAGTCCCCATAGCAGCTGCATGGACTGCTAAAGCCATAGTTACACCACTGCTGTCAATTACCACAACTGTCCAGCATCAAGCCCAGGAGCTAAACCAATTCATTATTTGGCTTGTTATCCTGTTACAGTGCACTAAATATCAGCACTCCGTCACAACCAGGACTGGCAATTGACTAACCAGAACTCTTCTTCAGCTCCCTTCCCCAGGCAGCAGGCCTGAGAGACATGAACTGGACCTCTCTCTGGAGATATACCCTCCCTAGAGGTGCCCATACACCTTACGACCATCGCAAGACTTTTGTCTTCCGATGGTCGTAAGCTTATTAAAAGCTCGTACGATCTGCCCATCTTGGTGAGTGCAACGAGGGGCGGGCTTCCGATGACTGCAAACGGGCAGTGTGCACGTGCGCACACCGGCCCGTTCGGCAGTTGTCGAACAAGCAGGCCACTAACCCGCCGAGAATCGTAAGATTCTTGGCGGGTTTTCAAGCCTGTTTGTTCGACGGAAGACGTGCGACCGTTCAGTAGAAACGTTGCACGCCTTCCATACACTTTGCGATTATGGTACGATCGCGGGATTTCCCGCTATTCTCGTACGATAATCGTACAGTGTATGGGCACCTTAGGACAGAAAAGCAAAGACTGCCTAGTAAATAAGTGTTCTCCCAATTTGGCTCTAAAAGTGGAAACACACTTTAAAGCCGTGTTCCCACTTGTGGGGTCTGTTAAACAATTTTTGCAAAGGCTGACAGCACACCCCAGTACAGCTTAAACCGCTGTGACCTTTTTTCGGGAAAACATTGCATCGTGCTGCAGCATTAGTGCACTGATGTGCCATTTATATTTAATACATGCCATGCGCATTACCGCATGGAGATGTGAACCTGGCTAAAGCCTTATAAGCTGGCTGCTTATCCTGGGGCAAGAAACCACTCAGGTGTTAACGTACAATTTCTAATCCATACTGGAGAACATATAGATTCTGATTGGTTGTCATTCTCAATTTTTTTTTGTGTGTGACTTTTTATGAATAATTTCAGATTAGCAAAGGTTTTGTTAGTGGATCGGGAAAAAGGTAGCTGCTCATTAACTTGTGACTTCCTTATTTGTTTGATTACATAAACAATCCACCCTTTTTTTCTTTTTCACATGTCTTTCACTGCTCTCCTGTTTTTAGGCCACCTGCCAAGCTGCCCCACCCTTCCCTTTCCTCCTTCATAATCTGGTTGACGCCAACTAATGGATTGGTTTCCTGCTGTAGCGCTGAGCTTTTATTACCATAACAGTGGCAGAGCCTCAGCAGAATGGCATGTTAGTAGAGGCAGCCTGACTGTATTACTCAGTTCAGCTATTGCCATATCTTCCTATGTGGAGTAAATGTGTGATGCTTCCTGGTCATGTGTGCATGACATTTAAATGCATTTTCATGTCTTTTTTTCTTATTTAGTGGATGATAGCACTGGAGTTATCAACTGTACTTGCTGGAAGTCCTCTGCAACCAAAGACCGGCCTTCAGGTGAAAATAGTCATGCTCATTTTATTTATGAGAGATAGATAATCCGCGCTTCTGGAAAGGAAACTAA